TGTGTTGCAAGATTATATATTTTAATTTATATATATTTTTTAATTTTTAAATATTTTTAGTTATTGTTAATAGTTTAAGACAAGATTATATATTTTAATTTATATATTTTTTTTAAATATTTTTAGTTATTGTTAATAGTTTTTAGTTATCACTAATGATTTTTTCATTGTTTATTATCGTATATAATTATTAATTCATTTAATTATATATATACATGAGCATTTCAATTTACATAATTTTTTTTGAATAAAAACAGGTCAAAAATATCAATACATATAATTTTTTTCTTTATGAAAAATTCTTACCCGCGGTGGAGCACCTGTCAAGTAGTAGCCAATAAATTCTAAATTGTGTTAAAATAGATGAAATGGGTTATATTTAATTAAAAAAATTAAAAAAATTATGAGGGCAATACAGATAATAATAAATGCAGGCAAGTTACAACATTATTTAATATGTAGTGGAAAGATTTTGGATTTTCTACTGGTGCTGCGGTTCATCAAATTCCAAAATTGTAAAATTTGAAGGAGAGAAAACCAGGTCTCCATCACAGAACCATCATTTAAAAGAAAAATAAATTTAGAATTTAAGTAAAGTTTTCTTCTTATATTCCTTGAAAATGATATTTGATTCTCTTAAACAAGTGGCTGGCTTTTTGACTAATAACACTTACAGCTGCTATGGCTGTATTTGTTGATAAGAAATAATTTATTTCGAACAGGTTTAAGGTTTGGGCGAGTTTATGCAGGTGAATTTTTAAGTTTTTTTTAAAAATAAATTAAAATAATATTTCCAGGTGAATTTTTAAGTTTTTTTTTAAATAAATTAAAATAATATTATTTTTCTACTCACCTGGTTTCATGAATTTAATATATATTAGTATTATAGTAGTGATTATTTTTAAAAAACTTTTATTTAAAAATATATTAAAAAAATAAATTTTATTTTTAATATTAATATATCAAAATAATTTTAAAACATCAAAAAAATAATTTAAAGAAATTTTTTTTGTAAAAGTTCTTTTCAACTGAAAAATAATAACTTAATATCAATGAATTACTTTTTGGGCTGATTAATAAATTTAATTTATATTTATATTTTTAATATAATTTATTTTAAAAAAGTTATTTTAATAAATAAGTTTAGTAAATATAACCAGGTAAATATCTTTTCATTTGAGATTAAATATCTTGATTTATATATATTTTTTAATTTTATTTTTA